ACTGAAACCCCAACTGGCTGTACCCTTATGAAACACCATTTACTGGCTGTATCCCCGTGACTAAAACCTTTCACTGGTGTATCCGTACTGAAAACACCTTACTGGCTTACCCCCGTGACTGAAAAAAAACCATTCACTGGCGATCCCGTGACTGAAACACCAAATGGCTGTATCACCGTGACTGAAACACCTTACTGGCTGATCACCGTACTAAACACCTCACTGGCTGTACCCACCGTGACGAAACACCATTTACTGGTTTTCACCGTGACGAAAAAACCACTACTGGTGTATCCCCGTACAAAACACCATTACTGTGTTATCACCGTGACGAAACACATCACTGGCTGATCCCCCCGTGATGAAACACCATTTCCCCGGCTGTATCACCGTGACTGAAACCCCATTCACTGGCTTATCCCTGACTGAAACACCACCCCCACGGGCTGTATCCCCGTGACGAAACACCATCACTGGCTGTATCCCGTGACTAAAAAACCCCCCTTATGGCTGTATCACCGGATGAAAACACCATCAGGGCTGTACCCCCCCGTGTTGAAACCCATTCGGGGGGGGGGTTTTTGGGGGGCCCCTTTGGTGGTGGGGGGGGGAAGGGGGTGGGGGGGGAAAAACAGGGCAGGGGCCCCCCCCCGCTGTATTCCACACGGCGTTGGAACTAAAAACCCTTTCACTCCCCCCAAAAAACCCTTCCGCTATCCCCGGGAAAAAACCCCCTAAAAACAAACCCATTACGGGCTGTATCAGGGGCCCCACCTTTAAAACTTGAACAGAAACCCATCACGGGCTGTATCCCGTGACAAAAACCCCAATTCAGGGGCTGTATAAAACCGTGACTGAAACACCATTCACGGGCGTATCCCGGACTGAAACACCATTCACGGCTGAAATCACCGTGACTGAAACACCATTCACTGGCTGTATCCCCGTGACTAAAAAACCCTACGGGTTTTCCCCTAGAAACCCATTACGGGCTGTATCACCGGACGAAACCCCCACACACGGGGCGGGTTTCAGTGATTTTAAAAAACACACCACTACGGGGCCTGGTAATCACCTGTGAAAACCCTACTGGTTTTGTCAAACAATTCCCGGGGTGAATAAAAACCCAACCGGCATCCCCAAAAACCCCCTTTTTTCTGTTATCACCGGATGAAAACCCCATTACTGGCTGTATCACCGGACTGAAACCCACCATGCTTTGTTAAAAATCACTCTTTTTAAACGGATAAAACCACTCACTGGCTTTTTTTGGTTTCCTCATCACCGTGACTGAAACACCATTACTGGCTTTTATCACCGTGACAAAAACACCATCAGGGCGTATCACCCGTGACTGAAACACCACTCCGGCTGTACACCGTGACTGAAACAACCTTCACGGGTGTATCACCGTGACTGAACACCATTAATGGCTGTATCACGTGACCAAAAACACCATTATGGCTGTTCCCGGACTGAAACCCTTCTATGAAAACTGCTGAAACACCTTCACTGGCTTTTATCACCGTTAACTGAAACACCAATCAACTGGCGTCTCCCGTACGAACACTTCACAAACCTGTAACCGTGACGAAACACCAAACCTTCACTGGCTTATACTTTATAACACCATTGACTGATCACCGGTAAACCATAAATGGCGTTTTCCCCGTGAATGAAACCACTAAAGGCTGTATCACCGTGAATGAAACACCATTCACGGGCGGGATCACCGTGACGAAACCCATCACTGGCTGTATCCCCTTGACGAAACCCCAAATCACTGGCTGTAAATCACGTGACTGAAACACACTCACTGGCGATCCCCGTGACTGAAACCCATTCACTGCGTTCAAACCGTGATAAACACCACTCACGGCTGTATAACGTGACTGAAACCCATTCACTGGCTGTATCACCGTGACTGAAACACCATTCACTGGCTGTATCACCGTGACTGAAACACCATTCACTGGCTGTATCACCGTGACTGAAACACCATTCACTGGCTGTATCACCGTGGACTGAAAAAACCATTCACTGGCGATCCCCTTTACTGAAACACCACTCCCCTGGCTTATCCCCGTGACTGAAACACCACTCACTGGCTGTATCACCGTGACTGAAACACCACTCACTGGCTGTATCCCCGTGACTGAAACACCATTCACTGGCTGTATCACCGTGACTGAAACACCATTCACTGGCTGTATCACCGTGACTGAAACGCCACTTACTGTAAGGCTTTCGATAGAGTTCCACATCAGAGGCTATTGAGGAAACTTAAGGCACACGGAATAGGAGGATTTTTTTCCTGGGTAGAGGCATGACTGACAAATAGGCAGCACAGAGTTTGCATAAATGGGGAGAAATCAGAATGGGGGCACGTCACAAGCGGTGTTCCTCAGGGGTCAGTGTTGGGCCCGTTGTTGTTCACAATTTACATAAACGACATAGATGAGGGAATAAATAGCGACATAAACAAATTTGCTGATGACAAAAATAGGCCGTCCAATTCATTCTAATGAGGATACTAGAGCACTCCAGGATGATTTGAATAGACTGATGCAATGGTCGAGAAAGTGGGGAGATGCATTTAATAATTGACAAATGCAAAGTTCTAAATGTTGGAAGGTAAATAACCATCCACAATATAAACTAAATAATGTAAATCTTAATACTCTGATTGCGAAAAGGATTTAGGAGTTCTGGTAAGCAGTAATCAAAACCAAGACAACAGTGCATTAGTGTTCGCAGTAAAAAACCAAACTATTCTTGGCTTCATATCTAGAAGTAAAAAAAATAGAAGTCCTCAGGGTTTTTCTTCAACTCTATATATCCTTGGTTAGGCCCCATTTAGACTATGCTGCTTCCCGTTTCTGGTCACCGTATTACAGAATGGATATAAATGCTCTGGAAAACGTACAGAGGAGGATGACAAAGATGATCCCATGTATCAGAAATCTTCCCTATGAGGATAGACTGAGGGCCCTGAATCTGCACTCTCTAGAAAGGCGTAGAATTAGAGGGGATATGATCGAGGTGTATAAATGGAAGACAGGAATAAATAAAGGGGATGTAAATAGCGTGCTGAAAATTTCCAGCCAAGACAGGACTCGCAACAATGGTTTCAAGTTGGAAAAATTCAGATTCAGGAAGGATATAGGTAATAGAGTTGTGGATGAGTGGAACAAACTCCCGAGGACAGTTATTCAGGCTAAAACGTTGTGTAGTTTTACAAATAGGTTAGATAAATACATGAGTGGGTGTGGGTGGGTGTAAGTTGGACCTGACTAGCTTATGCTGCTGGGTCTGGTGCCTTGCTCCTTCGTTGAGTGGAGGTGACCAGACTGGGTGGGTCATTGAGCTAATCCGGGGTGGGTGGGTCATTTGGTTAATCCGGGGAGGGACATGGACCTGCTCCGCATGGGTCAGTGGGCCTGTTGCAGTGTTTTTTCTTTCTTATGTTCTTATTCACTGGCTGTATCCGGGTGACTGAAACACCACTCACTGACTATCCCCGTGACTGAAACACCACTCACTGGCTGTATCCCCGTGACTGAAACACCACTCACTGGCTGTATCCCCGTGACTGAAACACCACTCACTGGCTGTATCCCCGTGACTGAAACACCACTCACTGACTATCCCCGTGACTGAAACACCACTCACTGGCTGTATCCCCGTGACTGAAACACCACTCACTGGCTGTATCCCCTTCCGTCCAATCAGTGTGAAGCAGAGAAATGCAGAAATACAGAAATACAAACGCTCTAAATATTTTCTGATAACCCGGTGTATCCGTACCAAGAGAATTACACTGGTGTCAATTATAAGTACTAAAATATCCTTGACACTAGTACACAGGTGTAGACTTAATACGACCCGTGCCGTCGATAGTCGTTACCAGTTCAGCGCTTCTCAGTATGAAATTAATAATAATAATAATAATAGTCGGGCAGTCGATAGGACTTATACGTAGATATAAAACTCACTGCTCCTGGTTATTCACTGCTTTTGCAGGGACCTCAGCCTCGCTATGGAACAAAGAAGTATATCGCAAAATCACTGCTCTTGCAAGGTCTTGTTGCATCATAACTCATATCAACACTTATATTGCATGCCCATGTTTCTGCTCCACTGGTGTTGCAACCTTACGTGTAGCAATCTTGTGTGTTGCGAGCCTCTATGTGGTTCACCCTCGTATAACCTGCAAGATTGTGTTACAACCCTGTGTTGCGACCTCACTCGTGTTGCCATTATATATCTGATCCATAATAAACATATTGAACTAAACTAACTCCATTCTTATATCTGTTATAAAATGTGGGAATAAAGATATGGATGCAACACCTAGGACATTTTTTATAAGAGCATAAAAACATAAGAAAGAAGTAGCACTGTAACAAGTCTGCTGGCCCAAGCTGGTCAGGTTCAACTTACTCCCACCCACACCCTTTCATGTATTTGTCTAACTTAATTTTAAAATTACACATCGTTTTAGCTTCAACGACGTTACTTGGGAACTTGTTTTGTATCCACAACTCTATCCTTTCTAAATCTAAATTTTTTTTTCAACATATAGGAGACGTTTTGCTCATTGAGGCTTATACAGTCAAATAATAAGCATGGAAAAACACTGAATATGAGGTGAGGCTCAATAAGGTCAGGTGTTGGTACGTGAGTCACTTGTTCATGTAGCTGTAGTGAGAGTGGGGTAGAAATAGTTTTGCAAGGACACTTACAATTTTTGAGTTCTGGGTCACCGTGTCGGTTACTGTTACTAGGACTGCTTCAAGACAATGTCGCTTGTGCACATCCTCCTTTAAACTTAGTATGGCTTCTTTCAGTTTTATCAGGGGCCCTTATGTATTACAATAAATCATAGAAGTGAGTGTTTCAGCTGCATGCATACTTGTGCTCTCGCTCGCTGGTCTAGTAGGCTTCCGGCCATCTCGCTAATATACATCTTTTTCATACTCGTGGGTAGGCGTACAGACCTTCTCTGGTTTCCATCATCCTGACTAGTCTCTTGATCTCTAGATCTTCCTTGGTGGATGATAACCTGATAACTACACTCATTTTGTGATCCGTGAGTACCTTAGTGACACTGTTGGCCACCTCCTCAACTTTAAGCATGACATGGTTGAGCGTTCTCAGTTGGCCGTGTTGATGACGTGGTGGGCATGGCTACTATAGTCAGAGATGAAGTAAGGAGGAAAATGAAGGCCGGGAGAAATTTGGAAAATGTAGTGACATTCCTTTTCAAAAAAGCTACGGGTTACAAATCTTGTGTGTTTTGAAAGAAGGATCTGATGACGACCTACTGTCTCTCTCTCAGTCTGTGTGTCATGATGCATAATGCAAGTAGTAATATAGCAGGTCTTCCTTGTTAGTGGGTTCTGTATACTTTGAGGGGTCAGTTTATCTCCCTTTGTGCCTAGGAGTTTGCTGTCCTTCTTTATCATGAATTTAACAGATGGCTAACATTGTATTGATGTCAGATCTTCTATAATAAATTACCACACTGTCATACACGTAAGAAAACTGTTATATTTCTGGGAAACTCGATATGTTCTGTTTCTAAATGTTCACACACCTTCAATTTCCTCCACACTTCATTTGTGACTGCAGATGTGCCTACTAGGTAGAGGCGGACTGGCCATACGGGCATTTGGGCAATACATTGTGGGCCGCTGGGCTGGGTAAAAAAAAAAAAAAAAAGCAACGCGCCTTAGCCGAACAGTGAAAACATGCCTCTGGCCCTCAGCAGTCAGGAGTCTGAAGATTGAGACACTTATGCAACATATGGGAATCTTGATTAACGAAACGTTTCGCCACACAGTGGCTTCATCAGTCCAATACAAAGTTGAAATGGGTGAGGAGAGGAGGAGTTTAAGGTACTCAGTCCCTCAGCCTGGAATCGATGTGTTCAGTCCAAGAGTGATGGACTGAACACATCGATTCCTGGCTGAGGGACTGATTACCTTAAACTCCTCCTCTCCTCACCCATTTCTATTTTATATTGGACTGATGAAGCCACTGCGTGACGAAAATTTCCTCAATAAAGATTTCCATATGTTGCGTAAGTGTCTCAATCTTCAATATATCTGTTTCAAAACCATTTATCACAGCCAGGAGTGCTAGTCAGTGTGGCACTGGCAACGGTCGAGCCCACCTGATAGTGATGGATGTGTGGGCCGGTTTTAAGACTAGTCTGCTTCTGCACCAGGTTATCAACATAGCCACCAGAGAATGGTCACTGATGATTTATGTCGTGCTGTAATTTGGGGACGTGGCCATTAACGTTACTAAGGCATTCACAGGTCACAAAATGAGTGTAGCCACTAGCTCATCACCCACCATCAGAAATCTAGTAAAAAAGATGACCAGCAGGTATGATGGAAACCATAGCAGTATGTACGTCATCCCATGCAGGGGATACAATAAGTTGTACATCAGCGATACGGCTGGAAGTTTAGACCAGAGAGTGAGAGAACACAAGCATGCATGCAGCAAAAATAACCTGAATAACACTTATATGATGCTCCATAACACACAAGGGCACTTTCTCAGTAGTATCAGTTCCTAGTAACCAGTTGTCATTAACCAGTTACCAGTAGTATGACTCACTACCAACCGTCTGTGTGAATCACTTGTTATTCACTGTTCAGCTGACCTAGAATGTTTTGAATGTCGCTACTCTCCGAGGCACTCGGCAAGCCAGTTGAAGTAGAGACGTTAGGGCAGATGGCAGGTCAGTCTTGGTGCACAGATATTCCACCCAATATACTAGAACATCCAACGTGAGTGTTATTACCCAATCCACATTATCGAACCCCCACATGACAACTTGACAAAAAGGAAAGAAGCCAAATTGGTTTTAAGGGAGATTTGAACAAAACGACAATGTCTCGAGGCAGCCCCAATCACAGCATGCAACACGGTGGCCCAAAACTTTGAAAATTTTAGCATATCAGGTTTCCTTGCAAAACTAATTCTACCTCATCACAAGTGACTCATGCACCGGCACCTTACCCTATCAGACCTGACCTCATGTAACTACTCTGACCTCTGTCCAATATATATTTTGTGTTGTTACTGTTCCATAGTACACGGCTTAAACCCCCAGTGGCGAAACATCTAATAATAAAATATACTTCTCTTTCTTTTTTGCAATCGTACATGAATTGCAAACCTATGCATGTGTGTTGCAATCGTATAAACATTGCAACTTCATGTGTTACAACTAATATGTGTTGCATAAATGTCTATGGTGCAACCTTCCATGTGTTGCAAATATTTTTCACCGTCACTGGTATTAGAAATTCATCCTTGTTGCACAACTATCATGCATGTGGCAACTTTTACGCATGTTGCAACTAGTGTACACGTTGCCACTTTACCGGTGTCAGGAGACTTACAACTGCAAAACAATCTTACCGTTCTCTTACTGCTTTATTTAATGTCGACTCTTCTTGCTTCTTCAGTTAATGTCGACTGTTCTTGTCTCCTCAGTTAATGTCGACTGTTCTTGTCTCCTCAGTTAATGTCGACTGTTCTTGTCTCTTCAGTTAATGTTGACTATTCTTGCTTCTTCAGTTAATGTCAATTATTCTTATCTCCACAGTTAATGTCGACTGTTCTTGTCTCCTCTATAATGTCGACTTTTCTTGTCACTCCTCAGTTAATGTCGAACTGTTTTGTCTACCTCACTGATTAAATTCGACTGTTCTTGTCTCTTCTATGTGACTATCTTGCTTTTCAGTTAACTGTCATTATTCAGGAGACTACAACCAAAATAATGTGACTGTTCTTTCTGCCTTATTTAATGTTCGATTATCTTGCTTCTTCAGTTTATGTCGACTATTCTTGTCTCCTCATTAATGTCGATGTTCTTGTCTCCTCAGTTAATGTTGACTATTCTTGTTTTCCCTCATTAATGTCGAATTATTCTTACCTCCACAGTTAATGTCGACTGTTCTTGTCTCCTCAGTTAATGTTGACTATTCTTGCTTTCTCAGTTTATGTCGACTAGTCTTGCTTCCACAGTTAATGTCGACAATTCTTGCCTCCACAGTTAATGTCGACTATTCCTTCCTCTACAGTTAATGTTGACTATTCTTGCCTCCACAGTTAATGTCGACTATTCTTGCCTCCACATTTAATGTCGACTATTCTTGCCTCTACAGTTAATGTTGGCTGTTCTTGCCTTTTTAGTTAATGTCGATTATTCTTGCTTTCTCAGTTAAAGTCGACTGTTCGTCTTCTCAGTTAATGTTGACTGTTCTTGTCTTCTTAGTTAATGTCGACTGTTCATGACTCCTTATTTAATGTCGACTATTCTTGCCTTCTCATTTAATGTCCACTATTCTTGATTCTTCAACTAATGTCGATTATTCTTACCTTTTCAGTTAATGTCGACTATTCTTGCCTCCTGAGTTAATGTTGACTATTTTGAGTGACTTGCTATAGCACATCAATGACAACAAAATTTTCTTGATTGATGGGAGTTTTGGGAAGTCCCTCTTCATAAGGGATTTGCCACCCCTACAGGTTATTACCTCTTCCTCAGAATGGCCTTCAGTCTTCGAAGCTTCCCCATCACATTTTTTTGAGATTTGCAGTGGACATCTTTAGGAGTCTGGTCTTTCATGATGTACTTAGATGGTGTGATCGTCATGTCTCATGACATGAAGACACATGTCGAGATATTATATATGGCACTGGAAAAACTAGCTGAAATTAACCTAAAGATCAAGTGCTGTAAGAGTCAATTTCTAAAGTAAGAGATAAAGTTTCTTGGTCATATAGTCACTCCTAGAGGGGATACGGCTGACCAGAGTTAAATAGCAGTTGTTCAAAATTTCCCAAGTCAAAGACGGCTGACACCATCAGATCCTTTTGTGACTTAGCAGTATTCTACAGATTATCTATTAGAATTTTTCCATCTGTTGCAGTTCCCTTGAAAGAGTTGCGTAAGAAAGATGCTCCACTCAACTGAACCTTCATTCAACAAGGATGGTCATTCCAAACATTTAAGTTAAAGCTCACTTCTGCTCCTGTTCTTACAGTCCCTATTTGAAGAAACCTTTATGGTCCACTATTCTCCTAGTGCCACAAGGAAGTATCTTGGGTCCTCTACTCTAAAATTAACAAGGTAGTATCTTGGATCTTCTACTCTCTAACGTACAAGGTATTATCTTGGGTCCTTTACTCTCTAATATACAAGGTAGCATCTTGGGTACTCTCTAATGTACAAGGTAGTATCTTGGGTCCTCTGCTTTCTTCGTGGCACAAGGAAGTATCTTGGAAAATCGCTAACAGACCTCTGGCTGTCTTTAAGGGTGAATTAGTTCCTGATCAGCCAGGCTGTGGTGTTTGTATTGCACTGCTAGCACCAACAGTGCGATGTTGCTGCAACCCTACCCTTTCACTTGGAAGGGTGTAGTGCAAGAGTTCCTTGTTCCTTCATTTTGGGATAACAAACTATCTAAACAGACAGAAGGGGCCGAGTCTTTGCCTGGGTGTACCAACAGACTAATGCTGGTTTGTAGATGAATGGTTCAGAGAACCTACAAGTTGATAAATTAGACACATGTGCAACACTTGGGTATCTTTAACGAGGAAACGTTTCGCCACTCAGTTGTAGACAGCCTGTACTGTCTGCACAGACAGCCCATGTCTGCCAGCTTAATTCATATTTTGCGCCACTCAGATGCTGCCCTCTGTAGCCAGGCCTCTCGGTGGCCACTTCAGCCTGCCTGGCCTTGCCACGCTCTCACTCTCACAGCGGCCTAGCAGGAAGACACAAGTACTCCCAGCTCTCTCTCGTGGGATGGCCCTGCCCGGGCCATGGGCACAACACACAAGCCTGTTTACCCACCACGATTTAACAATAAAGTAAGAAGCCTCCGAAGACGTATCATTTCACACCCCACTTTCAGTTCACCAAATAAACTCGTTATAAATGGTGGAAAGCAGTGGTTGCAGCAGTTGTGTTTGCCCAGAGAGAGGAAGGAAGGAATGAAGTTGTTCACTTCATCCCCCTACACAACAAGCATCCGTCTCTCAACGAGTTATCCTGATGTCGTGTCTGCACGTTTGAGCATCCAGACACAGGTACAAGCAGGATCCAG